GTGAAGCAGTTAAATGGGTTATCTAGGGAGGTGGTGGAATCTCCTTCCTTAGGGGTTTTTAAGGTCAGGTTTGACAAAGCCCTGGCTAGGATGATTTAGTTGGGGGTTGGTCCTGCTTTGAGCAGGGGGTTGGACTAGATGACCTCCTGAGGTCCCTTCCAACCCTGATATTCTATGATTCTATAATTCTATGATAAAAAGTCTCACTACCAACTTAGGACATCGCCAGGAATACACACACACTTGTACCAGGGAAGGGGTCCTGTGTTGTGGCTGGGAGGAACATAAGGACTCAGGAATGGTAGCTGGGGTCACAGTGGGTGGGGGAGAAGTGTTTGTGTGTGGTGGGGCCAGGGGCAGGCACTGAGTCACCGAGAGAGAAGACTGAAAATAATAATATTTGGGGAAAGTCTGTAGAACCAAGTGAAAGTGGAATGTAATACGAATGGAGTGCCGGCTCCAAATTAATAGGGCTTCAGCAGGGATAGTGTGTTAACTGGGCGGGATTCCCCCAGCACTCCTGATCCTCAAAAGCTCCCCTCTCCTATGTCCCACTGACCCCATCCTCCACCTCCTCTTCGTCCCATTTCTCCAGACCCCCTGAGATGGAGTTGCTGCTGCTCTGTAATACTGATGACTGCTGTGTGTTGTGTGGGCTATTGGGGTGATTATGGTAGGATTGATTTGGTTTAGTTTAATAGGGGGATGTAAGGAAAGTAAGCAGAAAAGGAAGAAGACTGGCTCAGGATGAGCCACCACTTGATAAACACTAAAGGGCTGAAAGGAGACAATACCCAAACTCTTAGCTTCGAATATTCTCCCGCCTCGCTCCAGTCCCCTTCCAGCATTCAGTTTGATGAGCCGGGCCATGGCCTGAGACCCAGACGGTGAAAGAACTGGGCAGTTTAAAAAGGGACTCCCTCTAGAGAGGGAGGTGGCTGTTCAGGTAATTGTTTGGGGGAAAGACACGTAGACACGGGGACCCCGCTGGGATGTCTGAAGAAGTTCTGCCTGCCTAGCTGACTGCCAGGGGATGGGCTTTTAGGTAAAACAGGCATGCGTGAAGGCGGTTTGCGATTTTAAAATAATTTTTCTCTCACCCTTTTTTCTGACAGCACAATAAACACGACTTCGATTTGCAGAAGGCTGCTCTGTCACTGCGCACTGCTGATCCCAAACGGCCGACGGTGTCTGCGTTCAGCCTGGCCGGCTGGGTAAGCAGGGCGCATACAGAGGCTGCTGCAGCCCAGGGCCTGTTCTAGGAGTGGGAGAATTGCAGAATTCCACGCCAGGAGAGGGAAAAGCTCGAGGCCTGACATGCGAGGAGGGGTGTGTGTGGGGAGACCAGGAGAGGGGACAGAGATGCAGGCATCCCTGTCACTCACTATGACACTCACGCCCCTTCCTCCCGCTGCTCTCAGCCCTCCCCACCTCCTGGGAGCCCAGCAGCACTCGTTCCTTGCGTTCTCTCCTCCTCTCCCATTGTCCGCTGTCCTCCTGTCCCAAATTTCCTGCCGCCCCCATCACTTTCCACCCCGTCTTCCCACTGTCCCAAGGGTTCCTTGCTCCTGACTCCCTGGAGCTCCTGCCAAAAACATGTCCCCTCCCTCCCTCCCATTGCCTGGAGCACCCGCTACCCGGCACCCACCCCCACTTTGCTTCTACCACCACCAACAGCCCTCCCGGCTCCTCGAGCTCCTGATCCAACTCCCTCCCATTGCTTCCAACATTCCTCGGCATTCCTACAGCAGGCGCTCCGTGGCATCCCCACTGCCCCCTGCCTTCCCAGCTGTCAGCTCTCTGCCCCAAACCCACCCCCCAGCCTACCCTGACCTGGACCCTTCTCAGCTCGCTAACACTGTCCTTCCTACTCCCCAGACCCCCACCGCTATTACTTCTATTACCATATCACTTAGGGGCCCCAGCCATGACCAGGGCCCCAGTGTGCTGGACTTGCTACAGACCCAGAGCACAAAGCCAGCCCCTGCCCCAAGGCGCTGACAATGTGAGAATAAGACAAGAGAGAGGTGGATACAGACAGATGGAGGGAGCACAAGGGAACAATCACAAGGTGTTGGTCGCTGTGGCAAGCAGCGGTCTCAGCACAGCGGCAGCCAAGCTATGGGCATGTTTTTTGTAGGCCTCATGGCAAAGAAGAAATTGAAAGAGGGGTGTGAAGGAGGAGGAGGAGGTGTGTGACGAAGTATATAGGGCCCGCACTGGAGATGAAGGGGTTAAGGCAGCACTCTTGGCAGCAGAAGCCATGCCCCATCGCCCCTGCTGGACATGCTCCAACGGCTACTGCAGTATAAAAGGGGGCCGCCCAGCTCAGTCAGGGCTGACCACTGAGGAGGAAGGGTGCCCCTCGCTGGCTCCAGCTGAGGAGCAGCCAGAATCCTGGACCGCAGAAGTCAGAGGGGCAGAGCCCTGGGGAGGTTGCAGTCACAGGGAGCTGCGCAGCCCATGGAGCCCAGAGATAGCAGAGACACCCCAACTATGACGAAGGAATCATGGTAGGAAGTAGCCCGGGGGAAACACTAACCATTGTCCACACAGGAGTTGGCGTGTTTCGGTCAGAATCCCCTGCTGACTCAGTGGCGAACCCACTCGCCACTAGCAGGGCCCTGGTGGAGCTGGGTGGGCCCAAGTCCTCCTGCCCCCTGCCACCCCAGCCCTGCAGTGGCAGCTTCCCCACCTGAGGCCAAGATGACTGCGTTTGTCTGACATCCACCAGAGCTAGGACGGCAGGCTCTTTGCTGTCTGTCCCGCCAGAAAGCTGATCCCCCTAGACTGATTATTGCTCTGCCTGGACTGCAGGCCAGGGCCTCCCACCCTAGACTGTTTGGGGGACGGCCCACCTAACCCCTGTTGACTCTGGCCATTAAGCCACACAGCCCTGAGGCTAAAGGCAGCCATACTGACACGACCGCAGGGCCCAAACGCCCTTCCTCCCCACTCCAAAGGGTGACGGAATACACAGGCCCCACAACAAGGTGCCTTTATGGATGTTCGTGGGGAGCTTCTCCCAAGCACAAGGCACAGCATGGGAGAAACCA